CCCCAAAACCCCAAAACCCCAAAACCCCAAACATCTAAAAGACTCTTGAAAGGGAATGTGAGCCCAAAGTTAATTCTTTAAGGTAATGCACTTTTATTATCTCTAAATGACAGTATTATTTTATTTAAAATCAAATTTTGGTGATAAAGATAATAAAACTGATAAGGCAAACACACTTATATAATTCTTATTTGAGTCCAGTAGTCCTTAAACATATAAAATAATTGTGTAGTCTATTAAATTCTTCTGAGAAAATTCCACCCTTGCAGTTAAAAATAAATGTAGCTGAAAACAAATGCAATGCTAATTATTGAGCTATTAAAACTGAACAGGAGTTCTAATTTTTAATTCGAATTGGTCAAAGTATAACCGTATGCTCCTTTAAAGAAGTTTGATGGTTCTTAGATTATAATATCTTATCAAATTTAATCAACAGTGGCAGTGAATGATAGTCTGCTTAGCATTTAGTTTGTAATTTTTGTTCCAGGTTCTAGTATCAACAATAGTTATTGCTTATTCCATTCTTTCAAAATATTTTGTTTGTTTAATGATTCTGTAATAAAACTATGATCAATTTCTTTTGTAAATATAATTGATTAACTAACACACATATAGTTATAAATTTCTTCTATTGTTATCTTTCAAGCAATGTAATATTTCACTGAACTACATTTTAAAAGTATTAAACTAATAGTTCTGCTGAACTGAGAATGCAGAAAACACATTTATTATACTTTAGTCAAATATTTTTAAGTCTTGTTCTTTTTATTATTGGCAGAATTAGAATTTTGGTATCAATTCTGTGCAATTTAGTTCATAAACTATTCACTCTGAGCAGTAAGTGAGCATATTGAAGCATTCTAGGATAAAAATTAATCTCGTGGATCTGAAAGAGGAGGCAAAACAGAAGGAACTAGTTTATGACTTGTTTTCAAAATTCCTTGCTTGCTCATTACTAAAATATTAAGAGAAGAGTACTGAGATGAATATCTTTATATTTGTTTGTAGGCATAGGCTTTAGAAATTTCATTCGTTTTTTCTTCTTAATATACCTTGAAGAACAGGCGTAGACTGGCTTCTTCTGTATTTTAGGAGCATGCTGTTTGGCTAGGAGTTAAAAACAAGTTTACCCTTTGTAGAAAACAGTTTATGTATTTTCCAGTTATTTAGATGATTGAAGAGAATTTTTAATTAAATTACTCTTTCTTTCACACGAGCCTTTAACTGATCCAATATTTTCAAAAGATTTTGAAATATCTAGTAGTTTTGATAAAGAAAACAATTTCGTCTTTAGCAGATTGTGTTTAAGAGGGGATTTTTTTTTGGTATTTACAGGTAAATTTTCTTCAAAACTTCTTGAAAGCACTATTTTTCTTTGCTTTCCAAAATAATTATTATGTTTTCCTGATCTAACCCATTCAGTACTAAAATTTTGGCTTAGAGATAGTACTTTTAATCTTTATCCATAATACGTAAAGCCTATAGGATTATATGCCTCGCTTACATTGTTTTTGAATAATGGAGAATGAGGCAATGATGGATTAATGTCTGGCTTATCAAAGTTTATCTTGTCTAAGGATAAGTACTCTCTTATTTGTCTTTTACAAACTATGGAAGGTAAATTAAGCTTACCAGTCAATCAACTTTTATTAGAAAACTTTTTGTGAACAAAATCGCTGACTCTCAGCTTTGCTTTGGTAATGTTATTGTATCTGATATTTCTTTTAGAATTCGTAGTATTATCAACCATTGTTTTATTAATAGAGGATTCTTTAAAATTTTCTATGTTTGTGTCTTTTTAATCAACTGTTTCTTCTTATTTTTGATAGTAACTTTGATCTCAGGAGCATAAATATCAATATTCGGAGTTTTTAAGTAGTTCTCAAAATTATGGCAATTTAAGGATTCTTCTTCTCTAAATTATTAATATTGCCTGTTGCCCATCAAGATCTTGAGAAGTAATAATATCAATATGCTTACAAACTTTTCAAGCGACTGCTAATTTCCTTAATTCTTTGACTTGGGTAGTTTTTAATAGATCTCTTTGGATCTGGCAATTCTTCCATTTTCTGAAATTTATATGATAACTCAATTGTTCGAAATATTTTAGGGGTTTTGGGGTTTTGGGGTTTTGGGGTTTTGGGGTTTTGGGG